TACAAGTTCCAGTTATTTGGTTGCTACAAGTTCCAATTCTATAGATGTATCCACAATTGATAGCACTGAGATTATGCCTGATATCCAATTAATTGAAAACATGAAACTTAGTGAAAACACGGGTATAATAGATAATATGTTGAACGAATTTGTTGAGGAGGATCAAGTTTATAAAGATAAAGAGACAGTTATAAATGTGATGAAAAACTTGGTTGTACGCGAGAGGTTCCAATTCAAGGTGAAGAGATCAAGTGCAACAAGGTATGTCAATAATTGTATATTATGTTATATATATGTATAAATATGTATAAAGTAGTATATATTTGTATATAATGTATTAAAATTAGTATATATGTAGTTATATTTTTGTATACAAGTGTATTTAGAAGTTGAATGATCTTTAATCCTAGGTATCACCTTATGTGTATGGATGACAATTGTGCTTGGAGTTTCAAATCTTCAGCCGTTTTCAAGGCAAACATATTCAAAGTGAGAAGTTACAATAATAATCACACATGCAGTTATGGTGAAAGTTACTTAACACAACGTCAAGCTACTTCGGGTGTAATTGCTAGTATAGTCAAGGACAAGTATATTAATCCAAAAAAAGTTTACACCGCAAATGATATAATAAAGGACATACAAAAGCAACACGGGATTGAAGTGAGCTACATGAAAGCATGGAGAGCTAAAGAGATAGCAATGGCAATGATAAGAGGGAGTCCGAGTGATTCATATAAGGAGTTGCCAAAGTATTTTTATATGTTGGAGCATACAAATCCAGGAACGGTTACAAAGTTGCACAAATCAGAAGATGGATGTTTTCTTTATGCATATGTTTCGCTATATGCATCTATCGAGGGCTGGGAGCATTGCAGATCAATAATGGTTGTTGACGGAAGTTTCCTTAAAGCAGCATATAAGGGTACCATATTGATTGCTTGCACGCAGGATGGAGCTGGTGAACTGACTGCATCTACCTTGTTTCTGCAGTTTGTATAATGTTGTAGTTTTATGTATAAAAGTGTATAGTATTTCACAGCTGCTGTTTTTATAAAATTTTCAGTTTGTATAAGGTTGTATAATTGTGTATAACTATGTATAAGATTTGTATAATTGTCTGAATCCTAATATCTATTTTTTATAAACAGGAAAAATCCTTCCACTTGCATATGCAATTGTAGATTCAGAGAATAACAAATCTTGGGAGTGGTTCTTTGTCCAGATAAAGGGTACTTTTGGTGTTAGGGAAGGGATGTGTATAGTTTCAGCTAGAAACGAAAGCATCTTCAATGCCACAAAAGCTGTGTTCCCAGAAGTACCACATTGTATTTGCACGTTTCACTTGTGGAAGAATGTAAAGCGCACATTCAAGAAACATCATAAACAATTGAAGGATATCTTCTTTGCTTTGGCTAGAGCTTACACGATAGAGAAGTTTGAGTACCATATGACAGAGATGTGCAAAATTGATCCGAGGGTACAGCCTTACTTGTTCGAAATTGGCTACGAAAGGTGGTCTAGGGCATATTCCAAAGTGAAAAGGTCGATGGTAATGACTTCCAATATTGCAGAGTCAATTAATGCAGCAAACAAAGATGCTAGAGAGTTACAAGTAATGCGATTGCTGGAGTACATGACAAATTTGCTACAACAGTGAAACAACAAAAACAGAAAAAGTGCAATGGAGACATCTACAGAGCTTGGCAAAAAGTACGACAAACTCATTCTGGAAAATCTGATTGCATCGGAGCAAATGACGGTAAAATAAATCAAATATAATGATGCTTGGTACTGCTGACTTGCATTTTACTGCTTGTATAAGGATGTATAACTCTGTATAATAATGTATAATGTTCTTTAACTTTTAAAAAAAAAAAAAAACTTTTGCAAGTGAGGCCTGCTATGGAGCAGTTATATACTGTGTTTGAAGGGGTAAGGCGAAACATAGTGTGCCTTGAAGAGGGAACATGCAGTTGCAGAAAATTTCAAATGGATGAACTTTCATGTCCTTATGCTTGGGCGGTTTTGAAGAACCAACAGCTAAAACCTGGCCAGTATTGCTCTTTTTACTACAAGAAGGATAAACTCCTTAGAACTTATGAATTTTTAGTGAATCCGATGCCAGATGAGAGTTTATGGGTAATCCCAACAGAGGTGCTGGAAGATGTGGTCCTACCACCTAAAGGGAGAAGGAATGCAGGAAGGCCAAGAAAGGAAAGACTCAAACCTGCTTCAAAGAAAGAGTCTAAGAGGGCGTTTTCATGTTCTATATGTGGACATTATGGTCACAATAGAAAAACATGTAGGAATCGACCAAAATAAATAGTTGAAAACATAACACTTCATATTACATTTGTTGTCATGTTGAGTAGTTAAGTTTCACAAATAATAGAGTTACAAATGTTGAGTAGTTAAGTTTCACAAATAATAGAGTTACAAATGTTGAGTAGTTAAGTTTAACAAGCAATTGATATGTTTCATTATTATCCAATAACAATGTCTTGTTGTTTCTAATGGTGCTAAATATATTGATAGATTGTACTAATATAAAACTGAACTGCAAACAATCAATGGTATTATATGTATACAGATGTATAAATGAGAGTATAAGTTTGTATAAATTTGTATAACTATGTATATTATTGTATACATATATATAAACCCTGCTACATTAACAAAACTGCAGCCATAATGAAAATATATACTTTGTTAAAGGACAAAAGCAACTGAAATATTCATTAAAATGTAATTCATTCACAGCCACAATGTGTAATGACTACCACAAATTACACAAAAATAAAAACATCTATAATATCCTTAAGGTTAAGTAGCAGAATAGTACTTAGACAAAACTGTCGCACCTCCTTTTTCCGCCCCCGCGAGGGTGCGTGGGAGTTTTCTCCAATTAAAGGACA